TCTAAGTAAGTAAGCTAAAATTGGTTCTGTTGATGCAACTAAGAAGCCTGACAGAAAAAAGAGGAACCTGAAAAAAACAAACAAACAAACAAACAAAAACAGGGACCCGCCAATTTGTTTCCTTTTTGACACCGACAGCACTAGGGATCAGGAGCATCTGGTATCAAAGATGACTAGAGTAGGGGTCTCTTAAGTCCTATTCTGGCTACCCATTTGTAAACTTATTTGTTTATTTCTTTAAACTCTTTTTCGATTTTAAAAGTCCTAGGTCCTCCATTCCTAAGGCCTGAACTCGCACACTTACCTATGAAGAGGTTTGAAAACATGCAAAGTGAACCCACGCTGCCAACTGGCATTAATGTTGCTCTATGGCCTGTGCTCCACTGACCACAAGATGGCGAAAGAGATTATCACATCGAGCCAGCCTGTCTTCCTCCACCACCTCCACACCAGTATTATCCGAAAGAGGAGAACATTTATTGAGCACTTACTGTGTGCCAGGCACTGTTCCAAGGACTTGAACGTATGAAGTCATTTAATCCTCACAATAATCCTATGAAATAGGTACCATTTCACGTGAGGAAACCAACGCACAGAGATATCTGTCTGGTTTAGCTTTTAGCTATTTTCATATCATTTATCTACCACTATTGTCCATCTATCATCTATCTATATCTACATATTAATTTACTATCTAAAAATTTTGATTTTAAGTGCTTTTACATTATGAAAGTAACACATGTTCATGGCAAAAATATTCAAATGATAATAACTAGTGAAAATACAGTCCTCACCCCTCCCTGTTTATCATCCCTGTAGAACTAGTAATAACCATTGTTAACAATTTTTGTGTATCCTTCCACAAATTTTCTATGAATATGCAAGCATATTTTATACCTATATCTTACACACACACACATAAACAAGACCATATTCCACACATTGTTCTGCAGTGCTTTTTCCACTTAGCATTGCATCTTGGATATCAGATGTGGGCTGGGATGGCTCTTGCCTGTGGACCTCATTTATAGGCCTTGGGTATGACACTGGCTGCACTTACCTGTGTACCAGGGAGTAAGCAGTGTCATCTGGTGCACCGGAGTGCCAGGTGACAGTGAGTGTGGGAGATGGGGGAAGCTGACAGGCTGCAGGGGGTGAGGAGGTGTATTGGGGTGTGGGGTAAGTTTGTTGATGGTTCTCAGGTGGGTCTGGCCCTCACCTCTGGTGTATTCTGGCCCCTAACCCTGGTCCCAGACAAAATTCAGATTTGGATGCAACCAACATTCACAGTGCCTTTAGAACAGGCCTAGCTGTTTACTTTGCACATTAGCATTTTTTAAAATCTCAATCTATATAGAAGTCTTGGGAGGGAGGAATTATCTGCATTTTACAAGCAATAAAGCTAAGACTCAAAGAGGATCATCTACATGTTATTATACAAAGCTTTTCAGAAGTAGAACCAAAAGCCAACTCAGTTCTTTTGATCCCCATCCAGGGTACTGTCCACCGCACTTCAGCAAAGGCTTCCAGGATAGTACCTTGTGCCTGACACAATGGTCGTGGAGTACAGGCTTTGTATCCCCTTTTACAGCTCTGATCTTCCTCCCTTATTCTTTCCGTCTTCCATGCAGGCTTCCCCCAGCCACTACAGGGCTGGGGGCCCAGCGGGTGCCAAGTCCAGAAATGTTTCTGAGGCTGTGAAATGTCCCCTCCAAGGAGCCTGCCTGAGGAGCGCAGGCAGAAGATGTGACAGGCCATCATTTCGGCAGCTGAGCCTGCCTTCAGCCCCGTCCCAGTCTCCCCTCCCACCCCAGGTCCTGCCCTTCCCGGAAAAGGATGAAGCTCCAGCTGCAGTTCTGGGGAGGCCTGGACCCCAGCTCCGGAGGGGCTGTGGTTCCCAAGGCTGCTGGGCCTGGAGAGGCGCGTCCCTGGCCCATCTTATCAGCGCTCTGCATGGTCTGGGTCTGCTCCTTGTCTCCTGGGCTCCTAAGGCCATGGGTGGGTTGATGGTTTGGCAGCCAGCCTCCTGGCCCAGCAGATGTTGAGCAGCCTGGGGGCACAATCCAGCTCTTCTCTCCAAGGCCAGCTGGAGGGATGAGGCACGACAAGGCCATCTCTACAGCTGGCACCTCCCCTTCAGCTGAGAGGGGGCCTAAACTACAGGACACAGTCCCAAGACCCTTAAGCCCTGGCAATGTCCTGGGGTGGGCAGCAGGTGGAAGTGGAAAGAAGCCTGTGGAGCTACCAGCAGGGAGAGGGGATCAGACATGGGGCTGAAGGGCCTCTGGGAGCCCCTGTGCCAAGGGGCTGCTGGCACTGGGCAACAGCACCCCAAATCCCACGAGGAGTGTGCCCAGAGCAAGTGGCTCAGACCTTGGGCATGGCTCGAGGATGTCGGTTTGTAGCTGCTGGTCCCAGACAGTGCAGCCCAGGGCAGGCATCAGGACATGGGCCGGAGGAGAAAGAGTGTTCTAGGAAGAGTCCAGTCCCCGAGTGCTGGTGGTGGCTGGCTGGCCACAGTCTAGTGCACGCTGTCTGGCTTGTACAGCTGTGCTGCCTGACTGTACATACCCTAGCAACATTCTCCTTGCTCAGCACTGGACGTCATCTCTCCACCTGGCCCCTTCCTCCAGGGAGGGAACGGGGAGGCTTCCTAGGATTAGTAGCAGGAGTTGGTCCTCAGGAATCAGGAGCCCTTGAAAGGAGGATGCCTGGTTTCCATACAACTGAGGGTCACCCTGGGCCCTACCCTTCCTAAGTTTGAAGCACTCCAGCATCCTTTCAATAAATGTTTGCCCTTTGCTCTAAAACTAGTTTCTAGCTGTCATGACTCACTCAGTTTATGAGGCCCTTCCCTTCCATCTACCACCTCTCTCTTACCCCCAGGTGACACATGTAGAAACTAAAAATGATGTCCAGGTTGTATTAGATTTCCTTGCATACCCACAGCAGTTTGAATACCTCGTGATGGACTGGGAGGAGTAAAACCTTCCACCAGGAACCCTCCAGCAGGTCTACTCCACATCCCCTCCTCAGGGTAAGAATCAGTGCTAGGATACCTTAAAGGCAGACAAAGCCAAGTGATTCGTTTGCCAGTAGCGAAGAGCCCCACCTCCTTATTGCTTTTTGTCTGCTTATTCTCTCAGTTACCAACCTCTTTTCGTATTCTGCCAATTTTCCCATCATATTTTGAAGCCACATTAGGCTCGTATTTAAAATCGAATCTTGCTAGTGAATTGATCCTTTTCTCTGTGAAATACTTTATTCCTAGTAATGCTCATTTGCCTTAAAGCCTATTTTAATTATTTTATGCAGATTATCTTTTGTCCATCCTTTTACTTTCAACTTCTGTAAATTTTTATGTTTTGGATGTATCTTTTGTAAACAGCTATTGTCAGTTATCTATACTGTGTAACACAACAGCAGCTAGAAAGTGTTGAAATGTTTGGAAGAAATACACTTCTAAGTAATCTATCGTTCGAATAAATAATGTGAATTAGAAAATATTGAGTTGAATAACAAAAATACTAAATATAATCTGTGGACTGCAGCTAAAGCCTTCATTAGAAAGAAAGTTATGAAGTATACATTAAGAAGAAGACTGAAAATTAATGAACTAAACATCTATCTCAAGGAGTTAAAAACAACAAATTAAACACAAAGTAAAAAAAATAAACATGGGAGCCAAAATTAGCAAAATATAAAACAAAAATAGGATAGCCAAAAGTTAGTTTACTTTGAAAAGACCCTGACATTGATCAAGAATACAAGAGAGAAGGCATAAATTATCAGTTTTATGAATGAAAACAGGCATTAAGAGGATAAGGAGAGGATACTATGGACTATTTTGTATAACAAAAATTTAGATAATATGGACAAAATCTTAGAAAAATAAAACCCAAAGTGAAGAAATAGAAAATTGAAATAGTCCTAATGTGACTAAAGGTATTGATTCAATTTTAAGCTTCCCTACAAAGAGAACTCTAGGTAGAGATAGCTTCACTGGCAAATTCTATCAAACATTTAAGAAAGGATTCCAATGTTAGCTGAACTACATGAGAAAAATAAAAGGAGAATATACATCCTAACTCATATTACAAAGCCAGAATACCCTTGATACCAAGGCCTGAATGGAGTGAGTATTAAAAATTTATAGGTCAAGCTCATGAACAAAAGTGCAAAAATCCTAAACAAAACATTAGGAAAAGGAACCAGTAATACATAAAAGGACAATATATGACAAATTAAATTGGGCTTATTCTAGGAATGCTGTATTAACAGCTTAATGGAGAAATATCATACACCTCAATAGATGCAGATCAAGTGTTTGATAAAATTCAACATATATTCAAGGTAAGCATGGTAAGTACTCTTAGAAAACTAAGAATTTTTTTTGAAAAGTCCTTAATCTAATACAGGTTAAGTATACCATCCCTGAAGTGCTGTTTCAGATTTTGGAATACTTGCATCATACTTACTGGTTAAACATCCATAATCTGAAAATCTGAAATCTGAAATGAGCACTTCCTTTAAGCATCACAGAGGCACTCAAAAACTTTCAGATTTTGGGGGACTTCGTATTAGGTATACTTAACCTGTAGAAGGACTCTACATATATTTTTAAAACCTATCATAGTGAAACGTTGAAAGTTTTCCTCTTGACATCAGGAATATAACAAGAATTCACATCATCATCACTTCTAATCAACATTGTACTGGAGGGGTCTGGCCAGTGTCATAAGGACAAGAAATGAAAGTATAAAGCCTCAAAAGGAAAAAACAGAATTATCATTATTTACATGTGGTATGATTGTGTATGGAGAAAATCCAAAATGATGTAGGGATAAACCAACAGAATAAGCAAGTTTAGCAACGTTGCCCAACACAAAATCAGTATACAAAAATATATACCAGCTCTAAACAGAACACAAGGATTTTTTAAAGATACCATTTACAATAGTTATCAATTTTCTAGGAATAAATTTTACAAAAGACACGCATGACTTCTTCAGAGAAAATTCAAACTTTATTGAGAGAATTTTCAAATTTTCAGTCACATTTTCAATGTGACATCAGCCATGTGTGTAGCTTCAGCTTGTCTTCTTTTTAACTTATGGTTGCCCATCTCCTAAAATATAAACATAACATTTGAGTTCATTACTTAGCAGAACTTTACTGAGATGATATTAAAAGCACACGAACAACACTAGTTTTGGTTTTTTAAGATGAAATGAAAACCAGAACCCTAACCACTGCATAGACTTCTATGCTAACGTACATTTTCAGGCATATGTGTACTAATTCTTAAAATTCATCACTCTAGTGGTATGAGGAAACAAAGACTTCTCAAGCCAGAACAGATTAAATGCTATGAGCCCATTTAAAGATAATTTTAAGTGGAGGGCAAAAACAGCCACTGATTTCAGTTTTGTTTTGTTTTGATTTTTTAATCAAACAAAAGCTCCAGGAAGCAAAAAACAAGCAAGCAAACACAGTGTCACTCAAATGTATTGACTAAAAACACTCTACTAATTATATATTAGCTAAGGAATTGTTTAGCTGACTAAAGAGAGGTCAAAGAATGCCATTCCATTTGGTTTGTCTCTTTTGTGCAAAAGTGCAAAAATAATTCATTGATCTAGTTAAATCTTTATGTGGACTCTTTATACCAGAGTGGCCACTTGTCTACCTGTTAACCTGATGTATTCCTTTCCCTCTCAAAAGTGTCCTGATTTAGATGATAAAAATTATATGGTTGGAGGCCAGATATGCCTGTTAAAAAAAAAATACGTAGTCTTACTGGTTTATTTAAGCTACTACCATATAGATGACATTAAAATGTGAGGGAAAATGCTACTGTTTCTCAGTCTAGCTCGCAATTTGTAAAAAAAACAACAAACCAACTTGGAAAATTCAAAACATACAGATCTATCTTACTTGTTAGTGCCTAAAAGCGATTTGTGATAAACAATTCTGGCAAAATTTTTTTTAAAGCAACACTATGTGTCATTTAGATACCCAATTGCCCCTGGGGTATGTTAAGTAATATATATGCTTTTTAAAGTGTTTGATCACTTGCCTTGAGTTTTGTAAGATTTCTACTCCAAAGTAATAATACTTTCATATTTTATAATTCAACAACATGGCTTTGACCTAATTCATTTTTTCCCTGACACTGTCTTTGAATCAAGTATTTGGTGTCTGAACTACCTTTCAAATAATATTTGTATGTGAGACTTGTTATTAAAGTATATTATAGAAAAAGAGTAACCCCATGACTTCCATTCTGAATGAATAACGTACCTGCTTCTTTAGTCTTAGCACGCTCCGGATTAGGTGGAGTCTTCTCTTTTACATCAGAGCCATCTCCACGCTCATTCCCAGTGTTTTCCAGATCCATTTCCTGGCAATCACCTTCCACTTTACGTTCTCATATAAATAAAAAAATTATTGATATAAGTAAGCAGTAAACTATAAATTAATGTTATTAAATAAAGCTCTGTAGGCTTGTATTCTAACAAATGTGAGGCATGAGTGCAATGGGCGTTGGAATTTTCTGCTAGAAAATGGGGAAGAATATTATCTCTACTAGGAAGTTTTTTTTCCCTACGACTGTTTAAGACAACTTAGTTGTCACTTTCACGATCTGCATATACTTCTGTTACTGTAAATCACTCATTAGAGCAGTATTTATTTACATGAATTTCCCTGATTAGATTGCAAGCTCAAGGAAGAAATCATTCTCTCATTTATATCCTCAGTACTTAGTACATTTCCCGGCACCTAGTAAGCCCCAGTAAATGAATGAAAAAAATGTCTGTAAAAACATTAACATAAGACAAACCCAAATTAAAGAACATTTTACAAAACAACTGGTTTGGATTCTAGTTGTCAATGTCATGATAGGCAAAGAAAGACTGAGGAACACTTCCAGATTAAAGAAGACCAGAGAGATATGACAACTAAATACAATGAGTAGTCTTGGATTAGATCCTGGATCAGGAAAAAAATCCTATAAAGGACATTCCTAGGCCAACTGACAAAACTGCAATAGACTATATGTTAGATGTTTTCTCAAGGCCAATTTTCCTGAATTTGATAATTGTTCTGAGGTTATTTAAGTGATTATTCATATTTTTAGCAGATACATACTGAATTACTTACAGAGTAAATAGTTGTGATATTTGAAACTTACTCTCAAGTGGTTCAGCAATAAAATATTAATATGGCAAAAACAGGGAGATAAGTGGCAAAATGTTATAGCAATTGGTGAATCAAGGTGAAGAATAAACAGAAGTTCACTATACTTAGATAACTTTTCCTTACATTTTAAATCCTTTCTAAGTAAAAAGTTAAAAAATGAATATATGACAGATAATGGTTCAGAAAGACAAAAGTATTGAAGACTTTTAACGGTAACTAAAAGGATTTCACATTTTTATTTCTCTGAATTATGACATTTTCTAAAAATTGCTGTGTAAGAGCTAACCATAACATATCTAGGTTTGCTCAAACTTTTAATGCAATGACGTATGCCCAGAAAAATAATATCCCAATAAAACCAAGTTTAACTCATGAAGCAGTTTACAATTTTTTCTAAATTTAATGTAGTTTCCTTTTGTTTGCTAATATAGAGTTTGGCAAGGATTGTATTTTCCAAGTATGCCAAAGAACTCTTAAGATATAAGATAAGTAAAATGCCGAAGAGAAAATTTATCACAAGAAGGACTACGGCAGCTGAAAACTACATTATTCCATTATGAAAGATTACCTTACAGGTTTCCAGCCAATTTTTAGGGGATGGTTTATTTATTCCTGTTACTAGTATAACATCATACATGAAATACAAAATGCTCCTCCATGCCCTTCTCACCTTCAATCGGAGGTGTTCTTTCTCTCTCTCGTCCAGGTTCAATATCCTGATTGTCAGTTGGTGGTTCCTCTTGCTGAGATTCACCGGGCTTTTGAGACATGGGGGGAGAGTAGATGCAAATCGAATATTGTTATTAACACCATGGCAATAGGAGTCACAAATATACATACTATGTGAAGATAGCTAGTCACAAATAAATCTGAAGAGGTTTTTCCTAGCCTCTCTATAAGCATTCTTAAGAAAAGTTATTCTTCCTATATAGAAAATACTTTAAGGAGTTACCTGCAAGGACCGATAATTCTGGAACCCATCTTCATCTTCTTTGGGCTGTATTATTTATTAATAAGCATGATAGGAAAGTCATAAGGACTATTTCCAGACTCCTAACAACATACATATGCAGACAATATCAGAAAATAGGTCTCCTTGCTCAATATCTCATTAATGTGATTTAGTTTGCAACTATTTTCAGCAGGGAAGTCCTTTATATAACAGATCTATATTGGTTCAACAATGTTTTCGATTTTCTTTCAGAAAAATACATTTCTGCCAATGGAAATAAGATACTGAAAGGTACTCACAACCACGAATGCAAACACATCGGGAGCCTCCTGACCATCTCCTCTTCCTCTGGATCTTGATCTCACTCGTGCACTCATCGCTCCAACTAGAAGATCGTGAACTGAAGACTGCAATAAAAAGGAGTAATTATACTCGACTCTTTCCATGGCCATCTGCTGATTGTAATTTTTTTTTTTAATTTTGTGAGATTTCCATAATAGGTCCTGAGTTAATAATAACTACGCCTGGTTTCCAATCACATCAAATAAATCTATCTGCAAACTGCTTTGTTTCTTCCACAGCCAACTTGGCAGAGAAGTGATCTTCAAGTCCTAGATCAAACCATGGGGTCTTTCCTAAAGAGACTTAATTTCATAACTGAATTCCATTACGAAGAGATTTTTTAATATTCAGCCACCCCAGGTCCCCTCCTCCCCAGGTCCCCACTGTCCTCTGTCGGCAGTTTCAAGCGCCTCTGGGACTCAAAAATACCTCAAAAAGTACCCCCAAGTTTCACTCCATCTGATCCCTCTCCCCTCCGTGACCCAACTTCCTCCCTCGCCGCAGCCCTGCCACAACCACAAGGTCATGGCGGTGCCACCGCCTGTGAGGCCCTTCCTTCACCGAGGCCACGGACTGTGCTGCCCGACCCTCCTGAAGCCCACCAGCTCCTCCTCACACTTAAACTCCCAGGAGGAACGATCGGTGGACCCACCCATTGAGTCTCAGTCTCAGGTGAAAGAGTCCCGACAACTGGAATGCAAACAACACCCTCACAGCTCCGCGGCAGTTCACCTCGTGGGTGAAGGGTCTGATGGGAAGACCCCCAGTGAATATGCACACTGAGGCGGGCGCTGTCAAGCGCGGGCCGTCCCACCCTTTCCCTGGTCCCCACTGAGGACTCCGGCATCCGTCCTCTATGGGCAGTTTCATATGCCTCCAGGACTCAGATAGTGTCCCGCTCCAAAACTCACACCATCTTGGCTGACCCTCCTCCCCTTCATGGCCCTCCTTCCTCCCCTGTCCCTGCCCCGCCGCATAGCTGCCTGCTAGGAGAAGGATGAAGACCTCAAGGCCCTTCCTTCTCTGAGGCCAGGGACCACAGTGCCCGACCCACCAGAAGCCCGCTGGCTCACTCATTCACACCTGTTCTCACTTACACTTGACTGGAGTCAGCAGAGAGCCTGGCGAAGAATGAAGAAGGGAAGAGAAGTGGCACCTACCTACTTCTGCCTCCTTGTTTAGACCTCAGCACTGTCAATCCCACCAGCCAATCCCAAACATGGGGGGGTGTCACGTGGGTTGTCTTTCCCGCCCTCTCCCGCCTCCTAGAGGCTCTGTGCCACCTGGAGGAAGGGCCTGCTCGGTGCTGGGAAGGGCTTGTCTCTGGCTTCTGGCCCCTCTTGCAAAATGTTCTGTCCTGGATCTAGGAATGTTCCCAGCTCTGCATTTCACCTGCAAATTTACCCTTTAATTTTTTCTCAGTGCTGCTGCCTCAGTGGCCCTCAAGAGGGTATTCAGTCTTCCCAGAGATGTGTGAAAGCTTAGGTTCTCAGAGAGTACAAAGCCATTTTAAGCATGATAGGAATCCAGAAAAAATGTAAAGAAGAAGGATGATAAACCCACATACATAAATAAGCCTAAACATTTGCACAAAAATCCGGGCCAGGTGCAGCAGCTCATGCCTGTAATCCTAGCACTTTGGGATGCTGAGGTGGGTGGATTGCTTGAGCCCAGGAGTTCGAGACCATCCTGGGCAACATGGCAAGACCCTGCCTCTACAAAAAATACAAAAATTAGCTGGGCATGGTGGTGCCCACCTGCAGTCCCAGCGACTTGAGAGGCTGAGGTGGGAGGATAGCTTGAGCCCAGGAGGTTGGGGTTGCAGTGAGCCAAGATCACACCACTACACTCCAGCTTGGGCTACAGAGCAAGATTCTGTCTCAAAAAATAAAAAATCCTGTGACCCAGCATTTCTACTTCTAGGACTTTAATGTTAAGGAAACTGTCTTGAATGTTGACAAATATTCTTTGCTTGGCCAAACTTTTAAGTCAGGCTTCTGAAACTTCTCCTAGAACCATCTGTGCATTTCCTTGTAAAACCCAGTTTTAGCAAAGAGCCCTGCTAAGTCAATGTGGCATGAACCCTCCATCCTCAATATCTAATCATACTTGCTATCTCATGGGGTTCTTCATCTTCCACCATCCCCCAGGTGATGTCTGATTTCCCTTGGCCTGTCTTCAGCAAGAATCCTGCTAGGTGGGTTTAGCCAGAATCCCCCTTACCCCTGATGTTTCCTCTTAGTAATTTTCCACCCACAGACCGTCATACTGCTCCTTTGCTATACATTCCCACTGGCCTGTGCTGTATTCAGTATTGAGCCCAATCTCTCTCCCCTACTGCAAGATCCCATTGCAATGGTCCCTATACCCATCACCACGGTCCTAAATAAGGTTTTCCTTACTGTGCTTTAACAACTACCACTGAATTTTTTTTTCTTTAATCATGTGAACAAAAATTTGGATACATGGGACTTCCAAAACAGCTTAATTTATAATAGCATGGTCGTGGACTTGCTATATAAGTAAACTATGGCACACTTGAAAATGAAATATGAGTGACTACCAAAACCCATGCTGAATAATATTTCCTGTAATAGTGGTGTGGTGCCGTTCACTTTAAGTCATTAACTTGAAACATCTGGTTATGTAGCACTGTGTATGTACAACATGATCTCAAAAGAAAAGAGAGGTTCAATAGAGCTACCACACCACCAGCCTTCCTCTCAGACAGTAAGTGTGCTTTGTTCTTGTGCAACCAGCATGTTCTGGGACTCCAAAGATATATGGTTCTCCAAGGGGAACCCAGCAGATAAAATGCAGTGCTAGAGGACATAGGTCTCCTGCACCTGGTGCACGTCAAAGAGCTTCACCATTGCCTAGGTGGTCTGATCCTCTGCTGTCAGAGAAGGTGTGGGGGGTTGGGGGTAGGAGGACAGAAGCCCACTGTTACTGCTTTGGGCAAAAGTTAGATGGGTGCCTGCAGGACAGAAAGGAGCTTGCCCTGCACATCCCTGTCCACCCCCTCCCGCCCCCGCTAAGCCCCCGGGGAAAAATATCCTTTCCGTCCTTGCATGCCTGGACCTGGACAATTCTCGGACTCTGCAGGTTACCCTTAAAGAAGTGCACATTCTTTGAGAGTTAGAAAGATCCCCCATGGCAGAAGTAGAATTGCCAGATCTCCCTCTCCTTTTCTCCCTCTCTCCTACAGATAAGATGTAGAGTCAATACAGAGCCAAGTGTGAAGAATATATAATTCTTCCTTGATCTCGCCAATCAGAGACAATCACTTTTTATATCTAAGCAGGAGCTGCTCCTACTACTCAGATCTTTATGTGGATTAAACAAAGATTTATTGAGAGACTGAGATCTCACACTCTGCAATCAGCATAAACTGTGGGCTCTAGTCTCAGCCTCCTGTTTCTCCTCAGGTAAAGTGCTTTCACTAGCTCTTAGGTGTTTCCTGTTATCACCTGGAAAGGCTATCTGCAGTCTGCTGCCCCCCTGACCTTGGTGCCTGACGGTTGGCAGCTGCTGTGTTCTCTGCATGGGATCAAGTTTCTCTAGGATGCTGTGAAGGAGTGAGAGGACAGGTAAGGCCTTTTCTGTGTGAGAGCTTAGATCTGAACTGAAAAGGAAATCCTTGAGCACCATGAGCCTTCCCAGAGAACCTCATCCTCAGGCAACATTAGTGCGAAGCAAGCACTCTGATCAAGGATATGTAGGTGATCCCAAGCCCCTGTTTGTATCATTGTGGTGATTATAGATGTCACTTTCATTGTATTCATTTTCTGTCACAGGTGATATCTGCTCCTTACAAATAATCCAATCACTAAAAATTGACTAATCCTACTGTTTTCTGCTATTTGATGGAAGAAAACACCACACTACTATTTGAATTTGCACTTTTGATAAATAATATGTTTGAACATTGTTATTCAAGTAATTCATGCTCATAAACAATCCACAAAATCAGAAAGAGGAGAATTAAGAAACAACTCTGGAGTTCCAGCATTCATTAAAAACCTCTCTTCTATTTGTCATTTTAGCACATGTGTTTTCATATATTTATCATTTTAGATGATCATTCATGCTGCAGCAAACATCCTCATGGATCATTTTCTGTCCACTTCCTTAAACATTTCTTCATGAAAAAAAAATCCTACATGAAGAAATAAGGGCTCAAGAGTATGTACAACTTGTCTAATGTAACACCCTCTGGCAAGGTATGCCTGGAATTAAATCTGTATCTTTCCGATTCTGGTTTAAGCCTGAATCATAAACATAAACATGTATGCTTCTTCACCTTGTGCTACCCCATGGATCCAGTAGTTCCTTTGAATCCCTCAGCTCAAGGAGAAGCTTAGCAACCCCATGAGCACCATCCATGAGAGGTGATGTGGTATAGGTGCCCACATGTGCAGAATGGAGGACTGGCAGAAGAAACATCATGTGCTAAGTCTTGGAAGCATGCTTGCAGACTGCAGAGGCCACTGGAGCTGAAGACTGAGGCTGTGGGTCAGAGAAGGATCTTTCCTCTGGTGTCCTTTTACCTACTGTATGCCACAATAAGTGCATGAATATAAATATTATGAATATAAATATTTTGTGAGATGATTTTTCTAAACACTGACTGGTAAACATGAAGGCAATTTTCATGATTGCAAAGGAGAGTTCCCGGAAATCTTGACATGGGTTGACAAAGTATGTTATTTTAAACTGTTACTCCAACTACCTGTGAACTCCTTCAAATACTACTCATGCCCATTCAGTTGCTGCACACATTCTCACATCTATTCAGATAGCTATAACTTAGCGTCAGCATTTCCGAGTAGTTCACCTGAAGCAAGTGGAGAGGAAGGAAGATTCTGTCCTTGAGAGTTCCACCATCAGAAGGAGAAGCCCTTGTTTCTCATTCTCCTTATATAGAAACCTCCAGGTTCACCTTTCTGTGCCAACTGAGCCCTATTTTATAGTTGTGCTTGTCACTTCAGTCTTCACTGATGGTGTGCAGGCCTCTCACTTGTGCTAGAAAGCTCATCTGGCTTTGGACTTCTTTCTCTTGGGCAAGCCTTCTCTTACGCACGTATCCCCTCATAGGTAATTAGTGAGGGTTCGTTGGTCACGCTGGCCTTCGCTGGTTGTTTTGTCTCTACCCGGATACCTTTCCCAAAAATCAGTTGTTTGTATAGGTGTGAGTTTGTTTCTGTACTCTCTGTGCTGTGCTAACCTACTTGTTTATCTTTAGGCCAATGTCACACTACTGTGATACAGTTTTGTAGTAACTCTTGAAATCCTACTTTGACTAATCTTGGTCCTTTGCATTTCCATATGAATTATAGAATCAGCTTGTCAATTTCTACCCCCCAAAAAAACCTTCAGTAATTTTGATTGAGAATGCACCAAATTTATAGATCAATTTGGGGAGAATTGACATCTTAACAATATCGAGTCTTCAGACCCGTGAACAAGATATATCTCTTCATTTATGTAGGTCTTTTTTTCTTTTTTTTTTGTGTGTGTGTGTTTTTCAATTATGCAGGTCTTAATTTCTCTCAGAAATATTTTGTAGTTTTCAATGTACAGATTTTTCATATCTTTTTTCAAGTTTATCCCTTGTTTTTCATGTTTTATGATATTGTAAATGGTATTGTTTTTACGTCAATTTTATTGTTTGTTGCTAGTGGACATAAACACAACTTATTCTTTATATCGAGCTTGTATCATGCAATTTTGCTAAACTCACTTGTTGGTTTTAGTAGCTTTTCATTGTTTTAATTAGATTCTATCATGTTTCCTATGTAAACAATTGTGTTATTTGTGAATAGACGATTTTACTTCATTCCTAATCTGCACGCATTTTACTTACGTTTGTTCCCTGACTACACTACCTAGAACCTCCATTACAATGTTGAATACAAGTGGGAAAAGTGGAAATCTCTGTCTTGTTCCTGATCATAGGGCAAAAGTTTTCAACATTCTGCATCTATTAAAATAATTATATTTTTTTCTTTTTTAGCTATTAATATGGTGAATTTTATTGATTCATTTTCAAGTGTTAAAACAGCCTGCATTCCTGAAATAAATTCCATTCAGTCATGATGTATTATTCTTTTAATGTATTGCTGGATTTAATTTGTTCAAATATTGTTTAGAA